CATTGTTTATTGACAAACAGTTGATCGTATTTTCGGGAAACCGCACAAGCACTTCAAGTCTCTCTTGACTTTGAAGGAAGTGATTCTTGCCCGGAATCCTCTGCTTTCTGTTCTCTAAAAGGACATCACTCACACCCAATACATACTTGTTTTATTTCTTTATCTTTCACACTCTTATGCACGAAAATTAATATTTTCCAATATTCTAATTACTGATTGGTATAAGTTTTGGTTATCCGTTGTAACCAAACACGAGGTAACAGGGAATTTCAAACGGTTTGAAGATAAGAGTTGGGCGCATGAATTTGATCCGTTTCAAACCCACGCGTGCTTACGTTTTCCTGGGATTAACCACACTGTCAAATCGCGCTTTTTCAGACGACGTTTTAGCAACCTCATCATCACGATTTCTCTCTCCAGGCAACCGTATAAATTGGGGTGATCATTTTATTTGTCATTTACCAAGTCACAGATTATCTCTCTCATACAAAGATTAAACTGTTCATCTTCTTCTTCGTTCATCAATGGCGACCTCATCCTCCGCGCATGATCAAACTACTACATCCTCCTTGCTTACAATACGACTCAACCAAAATCTGATAATCGAACTGAGTCCATTCGCATATGACTCATATATGTTGCATGTGGTGGAGTGTCTGGTATTCCCCTCTGGTAATGGCCCTAACCCTAGTCGAAGCAGTTCCGATGTCGCTACTATCTCAAGTATACTCATCAGCGACGTATGACAAGAATAAGGATCGCATCTACTTCAGTATTCACGATAAGAAATCCTCGATTTCAAAGACGAAGTTTTGTTCCCTTTTAGGGCTTGCAGTTGATTCCTCCATCATCTCTCCAGACTTTATCACAGTAACCCAAATCTTCACAATGTTGTACGAGATGGGGTACACCGACATACTTACATCGATGGCGAAGGTCAAGAAGTCCTGCTTACCATCGCAGTGGCATGGGTTGCTGACCCTGCTTATCAAGGGTTTGGCGGAAAGAAGTGGTGGTTCTGATACCACAAGCAAAGGCTTTCTCACCATTCTCTATGGTCTATATAACGGGATCAATCTAGATTATGGCACAATAATTTGGTCCCAAGTGGTGCAGAGTTTGAATACCACAACGCGTCACTCCGAAATTTCATGTGGCCGATTATGGACTGTGATTACAAGGAAAGCTATGGATTCTTTGGAGATTCCGATTATGAAAGACGCTCTTCTTACCTCTATCGCTACATATCACACCACGAAGATTATTCTATCTGATCCACGTAAGTTTTCTCATTATGGATCAAATCCTGAATCGATGTACAGGTGTGTCACAGCACAGAGCACGGTGATGGACGATTACCGAAAATTGTCTCCAGTTGGTCCGAGGGTCTTGTCTGTAGAACAACAAGTTGCAGTAGATGCTTTGGAACAACCTGCTCCCAGAGGCAAGCGGGTGGTGAAAACAGAAAAAGAAGAAGCAAAGGAGAAAAAGCCGAGAATTTCTAAGCGAAAGGATGGTGAGGAAGCTTCTTCTCAAACAAAGGCGAAGAAGATTAAAAAGATGGCTAAAAGGCCCAAGAGAAATTTGTCTCCTGAACCTGACACCCTTGAACACCAAGAAGCAGAAACTGAGAATCCTCCAGTGTTCACCAGAGAGCCTACACAACCGAGATCTCAAACCCCACCTCCATCTCCTAAAGATACTCACATTCCTACTCCACCAGTCTCTCCTGAAACTACTAAACTTCCATCTCCTCAACCCACAAAAATTTCCACTCCAACCCAATCACCAAAACAGAAAGCTCCACTTTCTGTTCCCACAGATATACCAACCCATCCTATTGAAACTTCTTCTCTACCAACTTCAACTACCTATACCTCTGTTTCTGTCTCCACTACACCTATCTCAACTCCTCTTGCTACAGAATCCATCACCACCACCATTCCCCATATCCCAGTAGAAGTCAATGTATCTGATACAGGGGCTACTCCTGTGGTTGATCCACCTGTTTCTAAACCACCATCTCCCACCCCATCTTCTAACTCTGGTGCCACTTTGGGTGGAGATGACGAAGAGTATGATTCATTATACTTTAGTCCTTACCGGCTTCCAAATGATACAGATCCTGCTGCTCCTGCCAATAATCAACAGCTTCAAGACATTAATGAAAAGCTTGACCGACTGCTTGCAGACAGCAAAGCTTATAGTGGGGTTGTCATGAAAGCTTTTGTGGAAACTGCTGTTCAGCAATATACTGAAGCCATTGACCAATCTACTACTGCAGTTAACAAGTCCACAGCTTCATGTTCCCAGGCCACAGAGAAGGTTACTAAGGTTGTTCATACAACTCAGATTTTCCTTGATTCACTCAATGCTCATGCTGATACTAATGCAGCAAAATACCAAGCTTATGTGGACTCCTTTTCCCACACTCTTCAAGAAGAAACTGCTAAGTTTGATGCCCTTCGTGCTGATCTCAAAACAGAATCCACATCTTTTCTTCAATCCTTGGATTCTCGTTTTGCGACTTTAACTGCAAAAAGCACATTGAAGGAAGACTTGATAAAACACCAGGCAACTTTTGAACTACAGAAAGTACAACTGGCCCAGAATGAAAAGGAGATTTCTTTGCTCAAGACTCAAAGGGCTGTCTTTCAGAGTTGTGCTGGTGATGTGAAGAATATGTTGACTGCTCTTCTCGAAGCCCATGATCCGATTCTGACTTTAACTATTCGGAAGCATCTCCAAACTAAACTTCTTCCTGCCATTTCTCTTCTTAGTGCAATGAAAGGTGTCTCGGAGAAAGTATTTCTTCTGACACAAGGGGGAGAGGAGAGTAAAGTCAAAACAGAACCAAAGGTTAATGTAGCTTCGGTTTCTGGAAAGAAAATTCTAGACGACAGTGACTCTGATCCTGAAGAGACTATTGTCGAAGCTCTCAAGCGAAAGAAACAAGACAGAGAGCTTGATGAGACTATGAAGGTGGCAAGAGAGGCTGAAGAGAAGGAGAAAAAGAATAAAGAAGCAGAGGAGATCTTACAGTGCAAAAAGACTCTGTTTCCTGAGTGGGACATAGATACTCTTATCACCCAAGCGATTGAGTTTCCTTCCATGTATTGGTTGGAACCGATTGCTTCTTTTGAATGTGAAAACTCAAAGGACTCGCAGTTTGACATGCCAATCACTAAAAGAGCATTTACTTATCATTGCTTTGAGGTCACTGCTGAGGTTCCTTTTCCCAATTTGAAGGTTAATATGGAGCTAGTTGATTTTTACTTGAAGAACGGTCAACCGCAGTACTTGACTTGGAGTGCACAGAAGATTACAAGAGTCAAAGTACTGAAATCATCACTTGCTGGGAGATTTATGAATGTACATTTCAAGATTAACCGTGGTACTGCAAACACAGAATATTTCATCTCTCTGGCAGATCTTCCCAATCTTAATCCTCATGATTGGATCTTGCTATACAACATTCTGCTCTCAAATCAAAGAGATTATGAGCCGATTTTGAAACATCTTAAAAGGATGTTGGCCTCCTATATCCATGAGCTTGCCACAATGGATCAGGAGATAGCAAGAGTGATGAATAAGAAGCCGACAGTCAAGCCAACATCTAAGCCCGGTGATGTAAATAAAATGAAGTTGGGGCAGATTGATTCAACTAACTTGACTGTCATGTTCACTAAGGGTGACAGACTTAAGTTTCTGTTTGCATTGGTTGACAAGCATTTGTTTTCAACAGATTGTTTGGAGCATATTATCAACATCATTCATCGATGCAAGCAGAACTCAACATCAGACAAGAAGAATTTTACAGATATGCTTCGGTGGTATATAACATTTAGACAACATGTTCTAGCCATTATACCGAGGATATTTGAAATTGTGAAGAATTCCACTGGTGTGAAAAGAGAATAGAGTTTATGCTCCAAGGACGCAAAGGGGGAGATTATTGAATATTTTAGTGTTGCGTCTTGGGTTATTTGTTTTGTAATCGGATTGGGCTTATCCATCCATAGTTATCTAGAATAGTTTCCTTTATCTAGATAAGTTGTTAGGGTTTTGTTATAAATATATGCATGCATGTATGCGTATATAATAGATTAGTCGTTCACGTTGATTCTTGTAACGCTAATTTTTACCTCTACAGATTGAAGTTCTTAATCGAGCACTTATGGGGTATTTTGCATTAATCATTCGACATCTTCATTGCAATACATGTGTTCTTATTTACGCTCTTATTAATATTTTGCTTAGAATCATACGATCCTGATAGAACGTTGTTCTAACAGATGGTCCAATAGTTTCTATTTGTTGCGAGTTTAGTCCAATGGCTTAATAGCCGTTACCAAACTCCCATTAATTTACCCATGCCCCTCTCACTTAAGGGTATTTTAATCCATTCATCCCTGTAACCGTTCCCGCTAAAGCTCAATAAAAGCAGTTCGACTCCTCAATAAAGTAGATCGTCGTTGTTTAACCAAGATCAATAAAAGCCCTAGACACAAAATTAGCTATGTTACTTAAGCTGTGATTTGTAGAGATTAGCAGTGGATGAACATACCAATGTGGCACGTAAGATTGTTAAACACACCCTTCAACCCCAAGGTTGTTTATGGTATGTAATTTTCCCTTTTTTATCTTTTGATTTCTTGATTTTTTTTTGAAGTAAGTCCACCTGAGGTGTTTTTTTTCTTGATTTTAAGATGGACACCCAACATTGTTTACCATTAAGTTGTACCATTGAGGTGATTTCACCAGGTAGATATAGATGTCTGTTACATTGATGGAACTGTAAACTATGTTGACATGGTAGATATAGATGAGTTTTCATTTCATGAGCTCGATGCAATCATGAAGGGTTTTAGATATAGGGTTCCTCCTGTTATATACTACCATTTTCTTGTTCCTGGTGGAGACTTCCACTTTTGTCTTTGGCCTTTAGGAAATGATCAAGATGTTGCGAACTTTCCTCAATATGTCAGTGACATAAAGTGATGAAGGTATACACAGAACATGGTGAAACAAGACTACACATCTATTTCTTGAATCCTGAGCTTGTTACCAAGGTTACCATTGTACAGTTGGATGAACCACATGAGGATGTGCAACACATTGATGAAGCTCCTGATGACCAATCAAAGGAAACACTTGTGATGACTACACCTACTGATAAATTAGTTGATGTGCTGCCCACTCAAGCAAACCAACCTGAAATCCAAGTCAATGAAATAGTTCAAGTCGTATCCTTGTCACCTGGATATAATAGGAGAAAGGTTATGAGCAAGGATGGAGTGATGGCACCTTGCAGTAAGAAAATATACTTTGATGATATTGGTGAGACTGAGCAGATAGCCAAAGACTTTGTTGAGGCAGCTACTGATTTTGATATTGGACTCTACCAACAAATACTACAAAGCAATGTTGATGGAGTCAATGGCACTGACATGCATGATGTCAACGAACCTCAGATGGATCAAGAAAACCAAACTCAGACGGATGAAGAAAACCAAGCTCAGATGGATGAAGTAAACCAAGCTATAATGAATGACTTTTGGGATTTTGACTATCAAACTGATGCTTTTTTCCAAGATGGAAGTGAAAACCAACCTCAGTCTAACATGGATAGTAATGGAAAAGAAAGAAGTGAAACAAAGCAGGAAGATGATAGTGATGATAGTGATCATTGGGTGGATGAAGATAATGTAATTGAAGATGTTGAAGTTGATATGAGGGATTTTAACATGAGCATTGATACAGAAGTAGAATTCTTGGATAAAATGGCTAGGAATCCTAGACAACACGAGAGTGATGAAGAAGCAGATGGTTTAGATGTCATTGACAATGATGCTTTTGATTCCTTGGATGATGATTCTGATCAGGACAGGAAGAGAAGAGCAGTTTTGAAACAACTAAGTAACGAAAAAAGTTGTTTATTCGGTGAGGTTCATAAGTGTCATTTTAAAATAGGTCAAAAGTATAACAATAAGTAGGAGTTGAAAGAGAAAATCAAAATGCATGCACTGGAAACAAAAAAGAATATTGCATTTAAAAAAAATGACAAATCCAGATTGAGGGCCATATGTAATGGAGTTGTGGCATTTAATAATGATGTAGTTAGTGGACCTACCCAAGCAGAAAAAAGTAAAGATAAAAGTAAAGGGAAAAGTAAAGAAAAGGATAAACAAGGTGGGACAAGTCAGGAAAAAGCAGATTCTTCTTGTCTTTGGATGTTACATGCCTCGAGGTCTACAGATGCAAGCAGCTGGTACATTAAAACATATGAAGACAAACACACTTGTATGAATACAAGGAAGGTGAGAGCTACAACAGCAAAGTTTATGTCCAAAACAAATCATGGATAAGGTAGAATCCAACCCTACTATCCCAGCTAAAGCTCTCCAAGAACAATTACAGAAGAAGTATGGAGTGGGTTTCTCAATTCATAAAGTTTTTAGAGCTAAAGCAGATGCAAAAAAGATTGTAGTGGGTGATTACAAAAATAGTATAAAGTTCTGAGACACTATATCCTTGAGTTGCAGTTAACCAATCCTGATACCACAGTCAAATTAGTACTTGGAGATGTATCAGAATCTAACTTGGTAAATTGCACTTCAAGATGTTTCAAAAGAATCTATGTTTGTCTAGGGGGTGAAGAAGGTATTCAAAGCTTATTTAAGAGATTTCTTGGGGCTAGATGGGGCTCATATGAAAGGCCCTTATCCAGGACAGATCTTAACTGTAGTTAGATTAGATTCCAACAATGGCATATACCCACTTGCATATACCATTGTAGAGATTGAAAACTATGAATCTTGGAAGTGGTTCCTTGAATGTCTTGGTGATGACTTGGATCTACATGTTATGTCTAATTTCACTTTTGTTAGTGACAGACAAAAGGTAATGGTTGTTTATTTATTATTTTTAATGTTTATTTGTTAATCATGTGTAATTTGTTACCAAGGTTTGCTACAAGCAGTTAGTCAACTGTTCCCATGTGCTGAGCATAGGTTATATCTCAGACATATACATGAGAACATGAAGAAACAATGTAGAACTAAGGAATACAGAGATCACCTTTGGGATTTTTCCACAGCTACAACAGTGCTAGAGTTTAACCATTACATGCACCAATTCAGTTTATATGACAAATCAGCATATGAATGGTTGAAGTCAATACCACAACATTGGGAAAAAAGCCATTTCACAGGTAAGCTATTATGACCCTTTTACCCTTTTACCATTTTACCCTTTACACAACATTATGACAGTTTTACCCTTTTATATACAGGGAGAGCAACCACGGACATGCTGTTAAACAAGCTTTGTGAGGTGTTTAATGGCAAGTTGGTTGACGGGAGAGACAAACCAATTATTATTTGCTTGGAGTTTATTAGGGAATATATGATGAAGAGGGTATGCAATGTCCTCAAGGTGCAACAAAAGTGTGTAGGCCCACTCACCCCAATAGCAACAAAGATCATGGAGAAGAATGAAGCAGCTGCTACTCAGTACATTGCAGAATGGTGTGATGATGAAAAATACCAAGTCAAAGGCCCATGGAATGATCAACATGTTGTTGATATTCATGAAAGGGTATGCAGCTGTAGGAAATGGGAATTAACAGGTATCCCTTGAAGACATGTGATTTCTGTGTTGTATAACAAAGCAGATCATGGTGAGTCTGTACACGAGCTCCATACTTATGTCCACAAGGTGCACTGGCTACAAACTTGGAAAACTGCATATGGGTACAAGGTGGAACCAATTAAAGGTCAGGCACTGTGGCCTAGAAGTGAGTGTCCAATGCAGATCACACCTCCCCCACGTAATCAACCTGGGAGACCCAAGAGGAAGAGAAGGCAATCCATAGAGGAGAAAAGTCAAAGCAAGAGTCAAAGTTAGAGTCAAAGTTCAGATGTTGGTCCCAGTGAAATTCATGGTCATGGTCCATATAGTAGTGGGAAACTAACAAGAAAGTTTGTTAGTGTGACTTGTAGTAAGTGTGGAAACAAAGGGCACAACTCCAGGGCATGCAAAGGCCAGGGAGGGACTTGATGGTCTATGTTGGTTTTATCTTTTGGTTTGACTATATTGAACAAGTTTGGTTTGATTCCTAGATGTAGGATATATTTTGTTGCAATAACTTTGTTTCAATTAACTTATGACATGTATTTTGAAGATGGTAATAGGTATTATGTCTTCAGTATGATTTTGTGTTAACAACATATGGATGCATTAAATGTTATCTTTAGAAGGTTATGTATGAACAGCAGAACAAATACATAGTTGGTCAATAGCTACCAAAAATTAATTACCATTACTTTTCATTACAACAATATTCCACATTAACAAAAAAAAACTACTTAAACCAGACACATATACCCTTATCCTATTACAAAAGATAACAACAATCAACCAGTGGACATACAACAAGAACACCAACACAACAACAAAATAAAATCCAACTATAGACTAGGTAATACTTCAACAAAGTTGCTTCTTCTTTGATCTTCTCCATTCCTTTTTTATGCTTGCTTGCTTGTTCTTTTATATCATCCATTGCTTTTTGTAGCTTATTGATTGTCCTAAGCAGCCCTGGTATTATAACTTTGGAACGAGCACACATGGGTTCATCATACCACCCAACAAACCCACATGATGAAATCTTGAATAAAAGAAGAAAGTAACATTAGATCATCAGGGAGCAGTCATCAAAATAAAGTGTAACATACTTACCGGGTCAGGACATCCCCAAAATCGGAACCCTGGGTTGTTATCTGTCCGTGATGTCCGAACTATCGCCCACTTTCTGTAGAAGCACATCACCATTGTCGATGGAGAAGATGAAACCACAGGGGGGTGATCGATGGAGAAAATGAAATCAGGGAGGGAGTGATAGTTAGGGCTTATTGCTGGAGACAAGAATAGAGAAGTTGTAGTCTCTTTATGGACTAAATAATAAAAAAATAAAGGGGCTAGATGAATGGACTAAAATACCCTTAAGTGAGAGGGGCATGGCTAAATTAACGGGATCTTGGTAACGGCTGTTAAGCCAATGGACTAAACTCGCAACAAATAGAAACTATTGGACCATCCTTGCAAGCCAAACCCATTTTGGACCAAACATGCTAGTTTTGACATACCCCAAGGACCAAATTTATAATTTTGTCTTGAAACTTATGGGCAGTGGTGTTACCATCACTGGGTAAATAGATTAGGCTAGGGCCTGACCCATTGCTCTAAGCATCTTGACAAAGATCACGGACCCCGACCATGTTCACACTACCCAGGAAGAGATAGCTAGCAAAATCCGTTTCAGTAAAAGTCATCATGGCATCTTCCATCTCTTGGGTCTTGGTGGCCACGTCCACCTCAACCTCTAGATCAAACTCCCCGGCAACCACCAGCTTTCTTGCAGCTTTTTTCCCATGCTCCACATCTACCACCATGTAGGTCTCCTGCACATGGACCAAACCTTTGAGAAATTTGGGGCTCTTAATCACCTTGTCCACCACTCGGTTGAGCCCATCTCTAAGGATCCATAAATTATAATTCCCCAATAATCCTTTTGCAGCGTTCTCGCCGACCAGATCGACCTCCAGCTATGTTACTCGCTTGCTTAGGCCGACATTCTCCAAACTCAAGGCTCCCACGCGACCATTTAAGTGCCTCACCTGTTCATCTAGCTTTGCCACTTGTTCTTTCAAGCTAGCCTTCTCGAGCAATGCCACTTCCTGCTTGGCCTTCCAGCTGCGCTTGTTGGCTTCCATCTTTTCCACCTGGGTTTTCAGCTCTACACATTCGATGCTCATCTTGTTCGAATGAGAATGGATAGTCCCTACATTAGAGATGAATTCAGCAGCTGAAACCAGGTAAGATGACCCTTTGGTGGCAGCATAGCGAAGACCATCGGCCATGTGCTCATCTTCCAGGACAGCCAAAGAATTAGTCGTAGCAGGTGGAAAATCATGTTGACACCACTCAAGAGAAATGTCCTGCTAAGACACGATGTCTTGGGGAGTTAGTCTCCAAAATGGATTATAGGCACTTGAATGAGACCCTACAGCAAGCGAGATGGATCCTTCTTGTCCAGAAGCGGTTGACATGAGACATTGGGAAGGCGAAGACCCGGTCTTCGCATCGACTCCTACAGTAGTAGGATCAGGGATGGTGATGTTGATGTATTCTTCCTCTATATGATTAGGTGGCTCAGTTGCCCTGTTGTGTGCCGCTCCAGTAGTTTCGGAGGACTTTCATCGGGTCATGAGTGGAACTCTTGGAACCCTCTTGGAAGAAACTTAGATTACGTTTCTTTCATAAAGGGGGCTCGATGCTAACCGTCTCAGCATGACCGTTGGCTGAGGCTTCCAAGAAAGCAGAGAGCCTCTTGACTCGGCAGAGACTGCTTGGGGACCCGGAAATGGAAAGATTCTTCTGAGAAGCACCAGTAACAACAATGTTGTGCAAATATGGATCCTTGTCAGCGCCAGTAGCACTTTCTAAACCGATAGTAGCCTTGATTCTTTGAATAGAAATAGAGGGTGGAAGAGTCTCTACAAGGTCGATATCATGACATTGAAGTTCACCGTCAAACAGAACTTGAAGAGATTTCTCTAAGGATATAACCTCCTCCACAGCTGACAACAAAGCAAAGGTAGCAACGGTTAATAAAATTACCCATTTTCAAGGGTTACACAGAGTAACAAAAATGGGGGAGGACAAGAGAAAATTGAAGAAGAAGTATTATACCTTCTTTCTTGACGAAGAGCTCGGGCATTTTCCTACGAACCCTCCAAGCGACGCTCATCCTACCGGCAGCCAACAAGAAGTCAAGCTAGTCCTCGTCGTTGATGTTGATCTTCTCCAGGGCATCAAACAATTCTTTGTCAGCACCAAAGAGTGCTGGAGCACAGTCCACATACACATTAGTCCTTGGGTAACTAAGCACCAAAAGGTCATTGTTCACCTATAGAAACGTCTCCATCCAGTTTTTCTTGGACTTTTTATCGTGAATGAGGGTAGGGGCACCCCGCCGACGAGAAAGGGTCCGAGTCCCAAACTGAGTAGACGTGTTGAAGAAATACTTGAATTCCGGAGTAGTTAGCTGACACCCTAAGGTATGGTAGAATAGCTTGAAACCCACTATCTTGTTTATGGCAATTGGAGTTAGATCCCTCATAGAAAGCCCATATTCACGGATGATTAGATTGAAGAAGTATGTAGTGGGTAAACGCAGACCCGCTTCGAATAAGGTGATCAGAATGCCGACTTTGCCCTTGGTAGGACTGTAAAGCGATGCATCAGGAATGGGGATTTGCACTCCGTGTTAAGGGAGAAACCCGAATCGGAACTAAAAAGATTCCCATTCCTCGGCAGTAAGATCTCTTCGCAAAGAACGAACGGCGTCCATGGAAGAATGCAAAGAAATGGTCGAAAGGATTCTTTGGGGTCGAAAGGATTCTTTGGGAACTCGAGGAGGAACACAAGTTTAAATGCCACTAAAGGGGTAGCAAATCGTTTTCATGATGAAACCACCAAAAAATAGCGATTTCGTTCTGTCAACCATGTAAGCTATCTGTAGCAGCCCGCCACATGTCTGTGAGTAGACCAGAATGACTCTACTATGCGCATAAGCCTACTGGTCTAAAGGAATTGTAACTCTACTATGTATGACCACCTTAAATTTAACGGAAAGCATAAACAAGATGTTATCATGCCATAACCTTGGCGAAAACCCAGTCTTCGCCTAAGTAATCCAGCATCGGGGTGACATTTCCCTTGCCTTCATGAGGAGAGAATATTCCTTGTGATCTTCTCACTCACTCATGACCAATCAGGACGTAACAAAAAGCTTAGGTGATGCATAAAACTGATGTCACCTAGCAGTTAGCTAGCATGAGCATAATTCTCCCAGTAAAAGGAAGCCACGTCTCACACTTATTCGGTAGGGTCCCCACAATCCGTAAGTAATACGTATAAAAGGATCTTCTTTTTCTCAAGGAAGGGATCAATCTTCTTCCTCACTGAATTTACCCTAAACTCTCTCTTTTAGAAAACTAACTTGATCGTCAGAACGGCATCTTGGGATAACACACTATCATCCTTTAACGATTCTTCTATCTTGTGTTCTCAACAAAACTTTGAGGTCTGATCCAGCATCCCATACCCTAAAGAGAATGTCACAACATGTGGTAAGACCATGGGCAGTGACCATGGCAGAATAGATGTGTCGTAAGACTGCAGGGTGGCTGTAGCATTTACTGGGTTGACAGATAGTATGGAAGTGTTGTAAGACTGCGAGGTGGTCGTAGCATTCACTAGGACATCGACAGTTTTGGGAATTGTTGTAAGTCTATGATGGGATCGTAGTATTCTCCAGATTAAGATATACCATCGTTGAGGTAGTCATTGCTATAAAGGAGGATCAATTCATGCCTTGGGCAAGGTGGATAGTATTGTTGGGGAGCATTTCTCTATAATAGGAGGAGGACCATTAGGGTTCGAGGCAAGGTTAGGCCTATGTAGCTCTCAATGGGGTGAGACCTTGGGCATGGCTTATTTGTTGGTGTAGACTAGCTGAGAACTGTGGGTAAGGCCCATGTGATTATGGCAGTGCGGGTAAGACCTGGTAGAGACCAGTGGGGTCAAAGTATTGGATCATGGTTTCAGTGGGATGATTATGTGGTGCAGTGAGTGGCATATATTGATGCATAGGCTAGGGTATCCTTATCAGTTGGACTCTCAGGAACCTGGTGGTTGGACCAAGTGCGAGATTAATAGTCTCAGTAGTGGCTTGGGGATTTTTATATCCTGATTTAGTGAATGGTTGCCGTGAATCAAAAGATTTCGGGTGAAATGCAAGTGCAATCC